TCCCCGACCGATAAGGATGCCACGTGCCACGGAGCATTAATACACATCAGCCCACAGTGACATACAGAAGCGCAGTTCTGAAGAAGGTATAATGGCGGCAAAAATTCTCGCTTTAATAAAATTCACTTCCCAAATATTCAATTGATTGAATAAATGGCAAGTGGGGGACTATCTGTATGGGAAAATCAAGTTAATATATTGAATTAAGTATGTGATGATATACCAAGACACATGGATCAATTAAAGAGTGACTGCTGGCAAAGGATAGCTGAAGAGCACAGAGCTTTGACAGGCACGAGCAGAGATTCAAGAAAAAACATGGGAAACAGTTACTCGACGCCTCTGTTAATTGAAAAAGATCAGAGGAATGAACCTGGGATAGCAAAAAGTACAAATACGTATTATCCGCAATTAATGAGCATCAATGATGGAAAACGTTATAGAATCTTCACGAAACAGTTACGATTACCAATTATAACGTTATATTAAATGTCATTAATTGCTCATAATGGCTCTATTATGAGAGGAAAGAAAACGTATTATTGAGAGATAGCTATAAAAGGAGAGATATAACACTTGTAAAGACACACAATATTATTGGAATACATTGATTTACTTTGCTTTCTTTTTACTCAGCTATCAATCATCTCAATTCTTCTTATTTATTTCCAATTTGATTATCAGTAACCGGGGTTCTTCTAAAAAATACGCTTTGACTCGAATTTCCTATTTTCTGGTTAAACATATCTCACAAGAAATAATGCACTTTAATATTATAATTTTAATATTAAAATGCACTAACACCAACAGATATGAAATACAAATTTTGTTAGGTAAATTTCAATATATAACGCGAGAAGAAAGTAATACTAGCATAACAAAATAAATTATATGAAAATTAGTGAACAATCTTTAGTTTAAAAAGCATATTTTGATTTTTCATTATTTCTTTTCTGAACAGTTGAATAATAGGCATTATTGTCATGATTCACGACGCTCCAATTTAATGCTCCTTGTTGACAGATATACCGTGAGAAAAACGTGATTTCATCTTCTCGTTGAAACCCTTTTTTTAAATAAAAAAAATTTAGTCTAAAGTAAACAGATATCCAAACCTTTTTTTCTTTCCCTGGACATTACAATACATATCTTACCTACCCTTCCATTTGGACATAAAATTTGAAAGTTTTTTTTCAAATTTTGTATTCAAATATCTGTTTCTTTTGTAATCTTGATCCTTTTTTGACAGATTTTGCAAATTCCAAAAACAATTCTAGAGTAGTTTTTAAATTTTTTAAAGTACTCTACTCACAAAATTTAAAATTATTTTCAAATAAAATGTATGTCCCAAGGTAATTTCAACTTTCAAAAACAATTTGTCATCTCATATTCAAAAACTCATTTTTCCCAAATGTCAACCAAATTTATGTCTAAAGAATGTGTCCACAACCCACGTGGATATGCGGGAATGGAAAAAAAGGGCCTGAAAATGAACCAATCTCTATATAAAACGTGGCCCAATAAGGCCCACACCTCTATCCTTTTATCTAAGTATGGAATATCAATATTTAACACTCGCAGAATATAGTTTCATATTGCAAACTCTTCTAAAATGGCACTTTCTTCTTCTTTTGTCTTCCTCTTAATCTTCTTCTTTCTCAACTCTCTAGCAATTTCAGTACAATCGGACGGTTCTGAGACTTTCATAGTCCATGTGTCAAAATCTCACAAGCCCCACATCTTCACTACCCACCACCATTGGTACTCCTCCATTCTCCGATCAGTCTCTTCTTCTTCCCAACACTCCGCCAAAATCCTCTATTCTTACGATTATGCTGCCCGGGGTTTCTCTGCCCGTCTCACTTCCGAGCAGGCTGACCGGCTCCGCCGCATGCCCGGTGTAGTCTCCGTCATCCCTGACCGTGCACGTCAGCTTCACACCACTCACACACCTACCTTCTTAGGTCTCGCAGACTCATTCGGGCTTTGGCCTAATTCCGATTACGCTGATGACGTCATCGTTGGGGTCCTCGACACGGGCATTTGGCCGGAAAGACCGAGCTTTTCCGACGACGGGCTTTCTGCTGTCCCGTCTGGTTGGAAAGGCAAATGCGAAACTGGGCCGGACTTTCCTGCAACTTCATGTAATCGTAAAATCATCGGTGCTCGATTGTTTTACAAAGGCTACGAAGCTGATCGTGGAAGCCCAATTGACGAGTCTAAAGAATCTAAATCGCCAAGAGATACTGAAGGACACGGGACTCACACTGCTTCAACTGCAGCTGGATCTGTTGTAGCTAACGCTAGTTTTTTTCAATACGCAAAAGGTGAAGCTAGAGGCATGGCTGTGAAAGCTCGAATAGCAGCTTATAAGATCTGTTGGAAAACAGGGTGTTTTGATTCTGATATTTTAGCTGCAATGGATCAAGCTGTTGCTGATGGAGTTCACGTGATTTCACTTTCCGTTGGTGCTGACGGTTATGCACCGGAGTATGACGTTGACTCTATTGCTATTGGAGCTTTTGGTGCTTCGGAACATGGCGTTGTTGTCTCTTGCTCTGCTGGAAACTCCGGTCCCGGTGCTTCCACCGCGGTCAACGTTGCGCCTTGGATTCTCACCGTTGCTGCCTCAACCATAGACCGGGAGTTCCCGGCGAATGTAATCTTAGGCGACGGTAGAATATTCGGCGGCGTATCCCTGTATTCCGGCGATCCGCTTAACGATACAAAATTACCTCTTGTTTATTCCGGCGACTGTGGCAGTCAACTCTGTTATCCAGGAAAGCTGGATCCTTCAAAGGTCGCCGGAAAAATTGTATTATGTGATCGAGGCGGCAATGCTAGAGTAGAGAAAGGAAGTGCAGTAAAATTAGCCGGCGGTGCAGGTATGGTCCTGGCGAACTTAGCTGACTCCGGCGAAGAACTCGTCGCCGATTCACATCTCCTCCCAGCGACTATGGTCGGACAAAATGCCGGTGACAAAATCAGGGATTACGTCAAATCTGATTCATCACCAACGGCAACAATAGTCTTTAAAGGAACTGTAATCGGAAAATCACCGTCTGCTCCACGAATTGCTGCCTTCTCAGGCCGAGGACCCAATTATGTAACACCGGAGATCCTTAAACCTGATGTTACTGCACCAGGAGTCAACATTTTAGCCGGTTGGACCGGGTCCATTGGACCAACAGATTTAGAAATTGATACCAGAAGAGTGGAATTTAACATTATATCTGGTACATCCATGTCTTGTCCTCATGTAAGTGGATTAGCTGCTTTACTCAGAAAAGCTTACCCTAAATGGACTACAGCAGCCATCAAATCTGCCCTCATGACGACAGCTTACAATGTAGATAACTCCGGCAAAACCTTTACGGATCTCGCAACAGGCCAAGAATCGAGTCCGTTTGTTCACGGGTCGGGTCATGTGGATCCGAATAGAGCACTGGATCCGGGTCTTGTTTATGATATTGACACGAAGGATTACTTGGACTTTTTATGCACCATTGGTTATGATCCCAAAAGGATTTCACCATTCGTGAAAGATACTTCTTCAGTGAATTGCAGTGAAAAAAGTTTAGTTAGTCCAGGGGATTTGAATTATCCGTCGTTCTCAGTTGTTTTTAGTAGTGAGAATGTGGTGAAATACAAGCGCGTGGTTAAAAATGTTGGCAGGAATACGAATGCGGTATATGAGGTGAAAATAAATGCACCGGCTTCGGTGGAGGTGAAGGTGACTCCTACTAAGCTCAGTTTTAGTGAGGAAAATAAGAGTTTGTCGTATGAGATTAGTTTTAGCAGTAATGGAAGTGTTGGGTTGGAGAGAGTAAAAGGTCTTGAATCTGCATTTGGGTCAATTGAGTGGAGTGATGGAATTCATAGCGTGAGGAGTCCAATTGCAGTGCATTGGCTACTCCACTCTGCTACAGCATCTCAGTGAGCAATGGACTATGAAGCAGAAGATAATTGTGCTAAACTGCAAACTGTGATGGGCCAGAAACAGGAACAAGGCCAAGTTCAGAAAGGAAAAATAAATAGCGAAGGACCACATCTATCTGTTGAAATAATGTTAAGAAATTGTCATCATTCTTTTCTTGTTTATGAGTATTTACCAGCCTCAAGTACATTTGAAAATTTATGTTCATCTGCTGTAACATTGTCATTTGATGGGCTTAGTACAAAATGAACTAGTCATTGCAAGACAGACAACTATAAATCATATCATCTTTGATTAGTTTGGAGTTTCTATCTTTACAACTATCCTTCTCAAGCCAACCTGATGAGCGAAACGAAAGCAAATCTCACTACTGTCAACTTGGAAAAGTCGGAGTCCTGGGATTTAACCCTATACTGAAAGGTAGCTATACGCATCATCCCAGATCAAAGGCAAGACTTTCCTCTGGCTAAGCAAATTACTCCATATATTGGTGCCACTGTTAATAGTATCACACAAAACCATGGCACCATTCTAAATTGGCTAGCTGGTACATTGGCCTTAATGTAAAAAGTCAGATGTAACTTTTGGAATACTCTGGATCTTATAGGCTCAAGCACGTAAATGTAGGTATTAAACGAATGGCAAAAGATTCTGTAAACAACTTTAGAGGATCAAGAAAAAGAAAGTACAATATTAGAGTATTGAAAGTAAAATAGCTGCCAGCCTTTGCTAGTGGTTCTAGTTGAAGGTTTTTCCAAACAACATAATCAACAAGGATCAGTAAGTAGAATCACACAGCATATGATACGAGCTCTCTAGTAAATCCTATTAGATGGCCAAAGCAGACATAGATACGTAAAGCAACACAGAACAGAAGGCATTGGAACAAGTATTACTAGAACAAAGTACACTTAACGACATTATGATGCAGCAGCATAATAGCCTCTCGCGCCACTTGTTGAATCCCTCTAGTGACCATACTTCTGAAATTCCCACTCACTATTATCTGAAATGAGGAAAAGAGTTACAACAATTATGATACAGTTAATAAACCAACTATACAACGCCAAAGACAAAGTTGATAACTACCTAATGGACACACTTGACGGGTTTTGAGCCAGCGACTGATGCAGTGGAAGTGGAAGGCATGGTTACATACACCTGTGATAATATAAATCAAGATGTCAAAGCCAAAAAAAAAAGGATACTTCTAACCGTAGCAATATAACTAAGAAAGACAGTTCTACACCAAATTTATCAGAATCACTAAAATAAAATGTTTATGTTCCTTCACAAACAAAGCTGATAAACTGAAACAAAAAAAACAAAAATCAAACTTACATGCACTAAATTAAACTAGAAAAACATAGACCTTAATTGTAGTTGGGAAGGAATCCGAAGCTGTATTGGCACCTCTTATCACCAGATATGAAACAAATTTGAACTGAACTTCATAATGGAGCATCTTTTCACTACTTTTTTCAGTATTTTTTGCTTGGTTGCAATTTGCTCTTAGACTTAACCTGACCTTTTATATAGGAGTTGGAGGAATGAGAACTCTTGTCATGATCTGGAGGCCATCATGCCCTTAATCCTTTTCTGCCAATGAAAAGAAGATTTTGGAAGAAATTTCTGATGAAATCGCTGGAAAAGGAGCAAAATTTGGGTGGCAAAAATCTCGTGGAAAAAAGAAGAAAACATAGGAGAATAAAAGGAAGGAAATCTGTCATGGATGGAAAGCAAAGCTAAATAGGTGTTGGGTTTGAAGGAAAGCAGGAGAAGAGATCACGATTTTTAGGGAAAGAATTTGGAATAACCATTGGGTCTGAAAGATAAGGGGTAACAGGTGTATGGAAAGTAGATAGAGGAGAAATATTAGGGAGGCAATAGGTGATGATCATGCAGAATCCCCTTTTTATTCATTTCAATTTCATTATTTTTTTGTTCCAATTCTTTTGACTTTTAAAGAATCGAACCAATTTTTTGATTATTTCTTTTCTTCTTCCAAGGTCCTGTTAAAGAAAAACATACATAGAGGCCTAAAATCAACTCTACAACATAATATTGTACATATAATTATGTCATAAAGTCCTAACGTTTAAGAAATTGTATCTTTATTTTCTCTTTCATTCAAAGAAGACTTATACAAGTAAAAAAAATATTAAAATTTATCTGAACCATTTAAACAAGTAGTAAAACATTAAAATCTATCTGATCTATTTAAATTTGAAACTGAAAAATTACAACATAGAAGAACAAATCTTTTTTGAAATGATCGAGAAAAAAGAATGAACGGGCAAGTAAGTCATTTTTTTACCACCCAATCCTTGTCACTTTTCCAGCGATTTCATTAGAGATTTTCTTCAAAATCTTCCTCTCATCGGCTAAAGAGGATTGTGAGAATGATAACCTTCAGATCATGATTTTGATCCAAAGGGTTCTTATCCCCCTTCAACTCCTCTATAGAAGGCCAAGTCCGGAAGAGCAAAGCCAAACAAGACTGAGAAAATCAATGCGAAAAAAAAGGCTACATTATTATGTTCTGTTCGAATTTATTTTCATATTTGGTGATTCAAGGTCTATTCTTCCCTACTCTAGTTTAATTGTAATTTTGACTTCTATATTTATCTTTCAGGTTGTCGTTTGTTTGAATCTGAAGTTTGACAACATTGTTTATTAATGAAACGAAACATTTCATCTACATGTGCAAAATGGTTTCGCACCGTGTCTGAGCTCGAGCCCCTCGATTTAATTCTTCATTGCAGTAGGAAACAAAATTACTTTTGAATGAGTTTGAAATGTCCAGTCCGCCAAAAATGTATATAACCTTAAGATGTTATTCTTTTGACCTCTAACATTTGATTTGGTTGTTTATGTGGTTTATATAAGATATTATAATTGTTCATAATTCTTAGATTTTGTAACCAGTTTTCTTTTGATTTTCAGCTTTTTCTCAATTTTCTTATTGTTTTGTTTGAAATAAGAGATGAGGCTCAAGGTTTGGGTTGAATATGGAGCAAACTGTGGCTTTGCAAGGGATGCTCTTTGGTTTCTATTTCTCCTCTGGATATATGAGTTTGGTGTTGGGGAACAGCGTATGTGCTTGAGAGAGGGACAAAGATAGAAAGGAAAAAAAAATACACCACAAAAGAACTCTCAAGTCTCAAACCTCGTCAGCATAAGAAGCCATTATAGAATGAGAAAGAAGACATGGAGAAAGGAGCACCAAAGGGAAAAGACAGTATGTGTCCAGAATTAGCAGCAAAAGAATGTTAATAATACATTGCAAAAGTTTCATCAGATGAAGGACAAAGGAGGGCGAAGACAGCAAAAGGGGATATACATGTGGTATTTGGCAATAAGAAGAAGTGCAATGCAGTAAATATGCTTGGATCAGCAGAGGCAACCCTCCTAAATATCCAGCCTTCTCCACACAAAATGCTCTCCTTGTCTCAACTCTGAGAAACATTTCCCTCCATTTCCTCACTCTGTTCCCAAAAGAAGAAGCGCACACCAATAATCCTAAGAAATTAACACCTATCCACTTTTCTAATTACCTTTTATAACACCCTTAGGGCTCGTTTGGTAGGAGGGATAACGGATAATTAATCCCGGGATTAAATTTAAGAAGAGTTTATTCCATGTTTGGTTGGGATAAAATTGCAGTATAATTAATCCCGAGATTAGTTATCCCGGGATTGTAGTGTTTTTTTATCCCCATGGAAGGGTGGAATAACTAATCCCGGGATAACTTCTTTCCAACCAAACGGCCCCTTAGCAATATGTTTTATGTGTCAGAATTTCAATTTAGAACTGTCGGTGCTCTCAGTCAGGTTGACTTTTGGTTAAACCTTTGAAGTAATTAGAGCAAATAAAATCGTAATGAAAGAATTGATTGCTTGTGTTTTCCATTGAAGATTCCCCTCGAGATAGGGGTTCAGGGATGGGGAGAAAAACGGTGTGCCTGCTTGAGAAAGGGAAGGACACAGGAAAAAGGTAGAAAATACACCACATAAAACTCTCAAGTCGCTAGCCTCATCAGAGTAAGCAGCCATAATAGAAATGAGAAAGAAGTACGAAAGGGAAAAGACAGCATGGGTACGGACTTAGCAGCATAAGAAGGCGATACATTACAAAAGTTTCATCAGATGGAAGGATAAAGAAGGGAGAGGACGGCAATGGAGCGATATAAGTGCGGTCTTTGGCAACAAGAGGGGGAGAACTGGAGAAGGCAGATGAGTTAAAAAAAAAAAAAAGATGACATGGATTTACAAGCACATATGCTTATGATTGTTCACACCACAAACAGATTTGCTTAGTTCGAGGACGATAATAGACAATGTATCACCTTGTTGTTAAGTGAAAGAGCCAAAGCTTTGTGGACAATGGATGTTTGGCTCCTTTACATGTAAATGAAGGTAGATTCTCTAGGCAACAAGATTCAAGTTTGATTATAACTTATTCACCATAAAATATACAATATGGTAATGTATATCTAAAAGTGCATACAACTAGTATGTCCAGGCATAATCTCGCAAGACATAATAAGCAGAAAGCTCTATCAAAATGATATATACTCATAAACAAATAATGGTAGTCAAGATTTCCCGAAGTATATAATTTTCTATGTCACAGCTCCAAGTAGAGCGAATTATTTCACCAATCACCGGTCTCAACTACATGAAATTTAAATAAACAAACAACGTACCCCAAGCAACAGTGCACTCCTCGCTCGTAGCACTAGCTTGATTAGCTTGGCATTCGATGCCTGTTAACAAACAATTTTCACATAAATTGGCAATAATAAATAGAAATACATCGAATTTCTCTTTTCTATTCTAAAGCAAAGGAGATTTGAAAGGGCTCACATAGATCCATAATATGATTCCTGCAAATAGCACAGTTGTCTACAACGATATCTGCAATCAACAATTCACCAAACCACGTCAGCTTCGATCAGCACAAGTAAACAATTACGAAAACTACAAAATCACGAAAATTACAATAAAAAACGAAAGAGATATGAATCAGAACGAACCCCAAGCCCAAAGAGCAACAGCATTCCATTTTTTGATCTCAAAACGTTTAGGTTTCTTAGTGGAAGAAGAAGCAGCAGATGCTGATGAAGGTGCTGCTGCTGCAGCGTTGGATTCTTCACCGGCGGGAACCATCTCGACGTCTATATCCATTGCCGCTGCTGAATCAAGGAATCGTAGTCAAAATTCTAGGGTTCTCGATCTCACAATTTTCTTCGCAAAGTGGAATTTGTATCAATCAAACTATTCTTTCTTGAACCGCTTCTTATACTATTTTTCTGCGGTGAACTTGGCACAGGATTGCCAATTGAACCGGTCCAAAGTTATAAAACTCCTGCAATCCTGCTTATACTCTCGCTTGCTAAGCAATTGGGTTGAACTAACACTAATATACTCAACCAACAATTGGGCCAGCAAAAAGCCCATGTGTCGATTTAAAGAGAAAAATATGTAAAAATTGCACGGGGCGCCCCTCTTTAACCTGTAGCCGCTTTGTCTTTTTGTTTGTATCCGTACCCACTTTTTAAAAAACTTCAGCTTCCCTTTATAACTGAGAAACTTCAGCTCTATAGCTGAAGTTTCCGGGTTACTAAACAAAAATATTTTATAACTAGAGCTGAAGTTTCCGAGTTACTAAACAAAAACTTCAGCTCTTGAGCTGAAGTTTTTATTTTATAACTAGGAAACTTCAGCTCTAGCTGAAGTTTTTATTTTATAACTGGCAAACTTCAGCTCTTTAGAGCTGAAGTTTTTCAGTTACAACACAAAAACTTGAAGTTTTTATTTTATAACTTGAAAACTAGAGCTGAAGTTTTTGTTTTATAACTGAAAAACTTCAGCTCTAGAGCTTAAGTTTTCCAGTTATAAAATAAGAACTTCAGCTGGAAACTGCTTAAGTTTTTATTTTATAACTGGANCAGCTCTAGAGCTGAAGTTTTTCAGTTACAACACAAAAACTTGAAGTTTTTATTTTATAACTGGAAAACTAGAGCTGAAGTTTTTATTTTATAACTGGCAAACTTCAGCTTTAGAGCTGAAGTTTTTATTTTATAACATAGAAACTTCAGCTCTAGAGCTGAAGTTTTCCAGTTACAACACAAAAACTTCAGCTCTAGAGCTGAAGTTTTTCAGTTACAACACAAAAACTTGAAGTTTTTATTTTATAACTTGAAAACTAGAGCTGAAGTTTTTATTTTATAACTGGAAAGAGCTGAAGTTTTTGTTTTATAACTGAAAAACTTCAGCTCTAGAGCTTAAGTTTTCCAGTTATAAAATAAGAACTTCAGCTGGAAACTGCTTAAGTTTTTATTTTATAACTGGAAAACTTAAGTTGGAAACTGCTTAAGTTTTATTTTATAACTGGAAAACTTAAGCTGGAAACTGCTTAAGTTTTTATTTTATAACTGGAAAACTTAAGCTGGAAACTGCTTAAGTTTTTATTTATAACTGGAAAACTTAAGCTGGAAACTGCTTAAGTTTCTATTTTATAACTAGAAAACTTAAGCTCTAGAGCTTAAGTTTTTATTGTATAACTAGAAAACTTAAGCTGGAAACTGCTTAAGTTTTTATTTTATAACTGGAAAATTTAAGCTGGAAAACTGCTTAAGTTTTTCGGTTACAAAGATAAAAACTTCAGCTGAAGTTTTCCAGTACAAAAGAAAAACTTCAGCCCCGTGGGCTGAAGTTATGTGAAAAAGCGGGTACACTTGCAATTTTTTTTGCAAAGCGGGCACAAGTTAAAATGTGGCACAAAAACGGGTATAGATGCAAATGCCCCAATATAGAGGAAATTTCAGGTAAAAATTGCACGGGGCGCCCTATTTGGTCGCCCCATTTAACCTATACCCATTTTTTAAAAAAGTTTTAACTTGTACCTACTTTTTAAACAACTTCGGTCTCTTTTCTCCTCCTTCGTTTTCTTCTTCTTCTTTCTTCTGCTGCTGTTGGTGTTGCTATGAAACTTCAGTTCATGGGATGATTGCCATAAGTATGTTTATCAGATTATTTAAAAATAAATTATAAATTAATACATAAGTTAGTAGACAATAATTTATAAATATTTCCATGTAATTCTGCTCTTTTCACGTTTATTATTTCCAAAATTTATGATTTAGATATTGTTGGCAATCTGATTATTTTATAGTAGTAATACACTATGAAAGAATAAGGTGATTATTTACCTAGTATGTTAGAAAGCTTTTTCAAAAACTTCAGCTTATATAGCGCTGAAGTTTTTACAAATGAACTAAATAACTTCAGCATCTTCTGCTGAAGTTTTTGAAAAAGCTTTATGACAAAACTAATGAATCCGGGACAAAAAAAATTCAGCTTATATAGTGCTGAAGTTTTTACAAATGAACTAAATAACTTCAGCATCTTCTGCTAAAGTTTTTGAAAAAGCTTATCCAGGACAAAAAACTCCAACTTATTTAGTGCTGAAGTTTTTACAAATGAACTAAATAACTTCAGCATCTTCTGCTGAAGTTTTTGAAAAAGTTTTATGACAAAACTAATGAATCTAGGACAAAAAAACTTTAGCTATTTTAGTGCTGAAGTTTTTACAAATGAACTAAATAACTTCAGCATCTTCTGCTGAAGTTTTTGAAAAAGTCTTATGACAAAACTAATGAATCCAGGACAAAAAAACGTCAGCTAATTTAGTGCTGAAGTTTTTACAAATGAACTAAATAACTTCAGCATCTTCTGCTGAAGTTTTTGAAAAAGTCTTATGACAAAACTAATGAATCCAGGACAAAAAAACTTCAGCTATTTTAGTGCTGAAATTTTTACAAATGAACTAAATAACTTCAGCGTCTTATCCAGGACAAAAAACTTCAGCGTATTGCATTTGCTACTTCAGGCCCGTCTACTAGAATGCTGAAGTTTTGCGTGATTGCCTTTGCTACTTCGGCACCGTATGCTGAAGTTACGCGAAAAAATGGGTACGCTTGTAATTCTTTTTGCAAAGCGGGCACAAGTTAAAACGTGACCTAAAAAGCGAGTATAGATGCAAATCCCCCAATTTTCAGAAACCACTATTATTTAGTGGTTGTTAACTTCGTATAGTTACCATATACATAATTACTTCCTATAGCTACTATTCAGTTGTTACAGTAGTGTATTCGTTGTATTCGCGCTGCTCTATTCATGAATACAACAACAAAAAGCGCCTAAAAATCAGGGCAGTCCAGCCGTACACGCATGTATTCACATGTATTTGCGCCATGTATTCATGAATACAACAACAAAAAGTAGTTGTACACACATGTATTCGCAATGCTGTATTCATGAATACAATAGCAAAAAGCGCCTAATTTCAGGGCAGTCCAGTTGTACGCCCATGTATTCACATGTATTCACGCCATGTATTCATGAATACAGCAGCAAAAAGCGCCTAAAATCATGGCAGACCAGCTATACGCGCATGTATTCAAGCAAAATGCGCCTAAAATCAGGACAGTCCAACTGTACGCGCATGTATTCATGATGATAGGCTATAATTACGTATTTTAGTCGATTATTACACTCTAATTTACTGCATTTTAGTTGAGTTTGCGCTTTAATCGCTAGTGTTTTGCACTAACAGTGTGTTTTATGCCTTGTAGGAGTGATTCCGAGCTATATAGATGTTATGGAATGAATTCAAGTGATTTGGAGCTTTGAAGTCCGAGTAAAAGCCCAAGGAATTAAGCCGGGATCGTATTCGGGGGTCAAATTTGATAATTAAGTACGAACGAAGACTCGAGGAGGCATATTGCGCACTTTCTAGTAAAATAGACATAACTTTTTGCTCAGAACTCCATTTGGGCTCCACAATATAAGGTTGGAAAGCTAACTCAAAGGGATACAATTTTCATGTTTTACGTTTTTCCAAATTCCAAACGGAACAGGGTGAAAAACCGCGGTTACGGTAGGACCGCAGCAGAACACTGCTGCAAATTCTGAAGGCCACTCTGGCCGCGGTCCTGGCGTAACCGCGGTAGGACCGCGGCAGGACGCGTAAATTTCAGGGACCAAAGTGCAAAACACGGGATTTTAAGCCCTAAACCCTATATTAAACGAAGGAGGCCGGCCAAGAAAAAAAAGGAGGATAGGTTTGAGACATAGATTCGACCTAAGGATGCAAGAACACATTGGGAGCAAGGCGGAGAATTCTTCTACGAGTTTTTCCTTCCTCTTCCTATTTTTCATTGTTGGTTATGACTTTTAGTATTGTAGTTTTACATACTATTATGAATAGCTAATTTGTTATCTAGAGTTTTGATAGAACCTTTTGTAGGATAAATTCTTGTTATGTTTTTATATAATTGAGCCATAGCTTTTCTCTATTTGTTCAACTACGTTTATATTGTGGTTGATTGAAGAGCTCTCAATTAGCTGTGCCTATTTAGTATGCATAACTCGGGAGAGAGTGCATATTTAGGTAATTGTTGAACAACACCACTCCCAGAGTATATGAGGGATCAATAACCGAGGGTTTAAAGGTGGGAATAGGGATAACGAAGCCTTGGGTGCGATCTGAAGTGAGCTGTATTAAAAGCCAGCTAGCGTAGCTCGGGAGAGTGCGTCTAGTAAATTGTCGTAATTACTCGGGAGAGATTTACGGTAATAAGAGTGCTCATGATCGGTAGAGAATACTTAGGCGAAATTATAGAAGACATAGCGGGAAGGATTCCGACAATAGGGGAAATCATAACTCTAGACCTCCTTAATCTTTTCTCTAACCCTCAGTATCGTTAGTTGTTAATTTACTATTTTAATTTATTACTTAATTAGTTAAACACAAGAATCTTAAAATCTATAAGTTAGAAATTGTTCAAGCTTATCTTCTTGGTGATAGTGAACAGCTGTAGCTAAACCTTAGTTCTCTGTGGGATTCGACTCCGGACTTGTAAACCGGATTATATTTGCAGCGATCGCATTGTCCTTTTTATAAGGCATAGTTGGGCGTGATCAATACCCATTGAGAAAAAAAATTTGCCTTATTATTGTTAACTTTTTGGTTATTTTCGGTAGCATGACTAAAATAGTTTGTTATTAGTAAATAGTGTCTTTTTTTGATATACATTCCCGTAAGATTCCCAATAAAAAATTCGATTTGACCCAACTTATGTACACGCTATAAATAAATATTGTTAAAATATCATGGTATAGCCAGTTTTCACACTGGTCAATGAAAAATAGTCAGCGTTTATCAAGTCAATGAAAAATAGCCACTATTTTGCTGCAACAGGGACCGGTCCAGTATAATATACGGGAGTTCTGGTGCATTTGTGTACGAACTCCAGCATATTATGCTGGACCGGTATACTTTGCTAACTCCTGTAAAACTTGCGGGAGACTGGAGCACCAGTGCTCCAAACTC